CCTGCTGCTCATCCAACTCAGTTCCATATTCCACTGATTCAACATCAAATTTCTAATAGGTGAGTCTGGCAGCTCCACTGCAAGTGTTACATAATGGGATCAGTAAGGTGCAGGACTGATTCCCAGATTTCTGGGTACAGACTTTACTACCTGGCACATCTAAGACAGAAGGCAACTTAAGAACAACTACCCATAATGAGAAGCATGTTCCACTCCACCTCATAGGATTGCCGCATGGAAGTGTTTTACTCACAGCCTGTGCAGTGCCAGCCGACGCACAAGTGGGTGATCAGCAGCATCCACTGGGTCATGAAGATGAGTGCAAGAGGAGCAACCATCTCTTCCTCTCTGGAGACAGAGAACAGTGAAGCTTGCTCAAGGTGAAAGATGCCAGCGTGAACCACTCTCCTCCGAATTTGTCTAGTCTGATCTGTTCATATGCCTGCTTCTACACGATCTGACCATCTCTCAGTTCTGCTGGGAGGAAAGATTAGATGGACTTCTCAAGCAGGCAGAGAAATGTTCAAATAAACAGTAACAAAGTTAAAGAAATTGTCCTTTTCTGTAACAAAACAATTTGTGTGATGATTCATAAAGCTGGTGATCTTGGGAGCTCTGTAAAAACATTACATACATACATTTGATGACTACTATCTTAAGGTCTAAAGACTATTTGTCTATCTGCTATATACAGAAGTTAGGATGAATATACATCAAGCAAGTGCGTAAACAGATGCAAACAGAAAATATCAGAATGGGTCACAGCAGTATCAATCAGCTCAACTTACCCAATGGTGAATATGGTAAGTTTGTTGAGGTCATTAGTACATGTACTTTCAAGGATATTTTTGAGTATATGCTTAAAAGTGGATCTAGGAGCAGTGTCTAACTTCTACAAAGTCAGTACCAAACCCAGTAAGAAAATCAAAATTGTGCTTAGGACTTTTCTTAGCAGGCAGTAGGTACTTTACTTGCAAAAATTTCATTCAATTTAGCTCCATGTATTCCTCTGACAGCTTTTTAGATTTTGCCTGGGACATCACCCCTCCAGTCCTGGACTTCCTAGAGTCTCAGTGAGTACCTCAGATAGTCAGAAAGACAAAGATGGACCTACCTTCTATTTCAAAACGTCTTTATCTCGTTTATCTTTCTATCATAGTCTTCAGGCTCAGAGAAGATGGACAGACTCATATTTCAAATGGCTATATAGCTATAAATAGGGCTGTCTCCCTTGCCGCTTGTGTTTTGGGGAACTATCTTACCATCGGAAGTGTTGCAAGATATGATGTTCATCACTTCCCTCCTGATTCTTACCAAATTCACGTAATTGCACAACTCACGATTTCATATAAAATGAACAAGCAGTTAGCTGGTTACATTTTCCTTTCTGTTGTACAGATTCCACTGCTGCTTCAGAATCTGTCAAGTGCATAAAAATCTTTTCTTTTACAGGTATTTCTCTCTAGCTCTAAATAATATTGAGTAGTACAAAACATCTTGCAATACAAACCATCTCTGGGGGATGGGAGCAGTGCGGGCTCCCCACGGTAGGTCATGGCAGGGCCCTTATCAAAATCCCAAGGTGATTCCTATCCTACTGCTTCTTTATTGATATATGGAGTGATATAACCATATCAGCAGTAGCTTATATATCAGCTATTCATATATAACCAAGTTATAGTTATTTACAAAAGAGAAAACCAAAGACAGTGTAGTGCTGATCACCTTTGAGGACAAAGACAGCTTAATTTCTAGAGACTCAGCAATGCCTAGGCTCATGAGAATTTCTGCTTCCTAGATTTCTGCTAGAGTGTGAGATTGATGACTGATGAGCTATAAGCGTGCTGTCATTTTCCAGGTTCATTCTCTTACCTTGTTTATAGAATCATAGAATCGTTTAGGTTGGAAAAGACCTTTGAGATCACCCAGTCCAACCATTAACGTAACATGACCAAGTCCACCACTAAACCAATTAACGGTAGAGTAATAGTTAATTTCATGTTTCCTGGCTTGGAGCCTGGATTATTTTTTAATGAAAGTAAACCTAGGATAGAATCGTTAAGGTTGGAAAGGACCTCTAAGATCATCAGTCCAACTGTCAACCCAGCACCACCATGCCCACTAAACCATGTCCCACAGTGCCACATCTACACATTTTTTTAACACCTCCAGGGATGGTGACTCCACCAGCTCCCTGGGCAGCCTGCTCCAATGCTTGACCACTCCTTCAGTAAAAAAATTTTTCTTAATACCTAATCTAAATGTCCCCTGACACAGCTTGAGGCCATTTCCTCTTGTCCTATCG